TTTTTTTATACGTATGTTGATTAGCCCTCATAGGCTTCATCTTTTTATTTAACCTGCTTAGAGTTTCCTCAGCTTTTTGGATCTATAGATTGGTGTTTTTCATCAAATTTGGGAAGTTTTTGGCTAGTAATTTTTCTGCCCTCATTCACTCTTCCCTTTTTTCGAATTCTAATTGCATATATATTAAAGCGTTTGATATTCTCACATTTCCCTGAGACTGTTCGCCCTACCCCAGTCTTTTTTCTGTCTCTTCTTTCGATTAGATAATTGTTATTGATCTAACTTCCTATAGTTGACTCTTAGTCTGTTATGTCTAATCTCATGTTAAGCCTATCCAGTTAATTTTTCCTTTCAGTTAATTTTGGGTTCTTTTTTATATTTTCCTATCTCTGCTGAAATTCCCTATTTGTTCATTCATGTTAAAACCACGTTTTCAATTCTTTGAACCTATTTTTCTGTAATTCTTTCAACGTAATTATGATAGTTGTTTAAAGGTAATTGCTTACTTAGAACAATGTCTGGACATCTTAGGTTCAGTTTCTGTTGACTTTTAAGTTTTTTTCCCCTACAGATCACATGTTTCTTTGTATGTTAGTGATTTTTGATTGAATATTGGACACTGTGGATAATGTATAGAAATCTGGAGTCTGTTACCTTCTGCTGAACAATGGGGATTTTTGTTTTAGCAGACAGTTCAGTTACTGGCTGCCCCCTTAATTTTAGGGTTAATGTTATGCTTTGTTATTATGGATCTCTAAAAGTAGAGAGTGGTTCTCTGAGCACCCCCAAGTCTGTTTCCCTGTGGATCTTTTGTGGACTTTGTTGGCTTGATACTATTCATCCTCCATCACTCTGAAATCTCTGTTACCTGTTTTTCACTCTTAATCCCATGGCAGCTTGGTATGGGAGTGATTTTTTCTCCCTGCTGTTGTGCAGCTTGGCTTTGGCTGTGGACTTGTGGGGAGTCCCTAAGAGGGACTTTTCTGGGGTGTCCTGTCTTTATAGCTTCCTCCTCTGCTGTTTTAGCACCTAAGCTTTGATCTTTGCGGACTTTTCCTGTCCGCGCCTTGGGAAACTGTCCTAAGGTCAAGGGCAATGGGGAGGGGGACATTACCTCATGAATTTCCCTTCTTTCAAATATCTTGGTCTTGCTCTGCCTGTTGTCCATTCCTTGGAATCAGTTGCCTCATTTACTTTGCCCAGTGTTATAGTTGTTTATAGAAAGAGAATTAATCCAATAAGAATTACTCCGTTATGGCTGGAAGCAGGACTCTGCTTCATCTTAGGTAGAAATAGATGAGCCCTTAAGTCTCTTGAAGCACACAAATTCTTTATTCTCTGATCTCCTGCCTTTTTTATAATAAATGTATATCCTCCTAATTTTGTGCTGATAGCACACAAGTTGCTAATCACATGTTCACTTTTTAGCCCTTTTTACTCCTTCTGTAGCTCATTGTTCACTGTTTAGCTAGGTGTTGGGACCCAGTGTCTCTTTGGCATATATTCTTGCTGGAAAATGGTATTTTCTGCTATACCTTTCTACAAGGGTATATAGCTCTACCAAAGTTAGCACACTTACCATTTTGTTACAGAGCTACTTTTAGTGAATTTGCAGCCAAGCATGCTAAAGATTCAAGATTCAAAGCAATTGAAAAGATGAAAGATCGAGAAGCTTTGTTTAATGAATTTGTGGCAGCTGCAAGGAAGAAAGAGAAAGAAGATTCGAAGACCAGAGGTGAGAAGGTAAGATGGTTTTAGTTCCAGTGGTGTGATTGATGTGAGTGCGAATGGAAAGAACTAAGCTGGTGCTGTGTGTCTAACTTCATTTATGGGCATAAATAATAGGACCTACTTTGTTCTTTTAAGTTAACTTTTACAGTTGTTCATGTATGTATGTATTCTCTCACTTTACTTCCAAAATGCTTATTTTAGTAGCTTCACTAAGCTGTATGGTTTTGCTTTAAACTGTATTAATATTAAGGTGCCTTGTAAACCCAGAACTGGTTATTAGGACTGCCAGCTCAGTGGGGCCTACTAAGATTTTAAGATTCTTTATAGGTGGTAACATTTGAATTTCAAAGAGCTTCTTTATCTTTTTCGCCCTCTAAAAGATAGCATTTTAGTGACTTTCTAGTCTTTCAGTAAGCATATCTTACATATAAATTATTGCTTATCAGAATTAAAGGTCAGCTATTAAAGATTAATGAATTCCAAATGTCATTTGATGGCAGTGCAAGAGTGGAGAGGAGCTCACCACTGGGGAGGCAGACAGACTAGTAGGGAGATGACACCAGTGGTGTGTGAACCATCAAAACATGCAGCCGCTCTCCTTAGTGTCCTGGTAGGCTTTGTGAATGTGGAAGAATAACCTCTGGAGCCTAATCATTCTTGACATTTAAAATTGCCTCTTATTTCAGAAAGTTACAGTATTACAAATTCTATTTAGAAATGTTCGGGAAGTAATGCTGCTCTTATTTGAAAAGAAGCCTCTTTCATTTAAAATAGTAACAGTACTAGGTAACACAATTTTTGTCAGAAATATGTGAAACTTTCTGAGTATGTGCTTTATTGGGCTTCAAAGTAAAATTTTTCCAGAATTATTTCACAGTTAACTTTTCTAAAAAAATGATTATGCTTCTCAGGAAAAATGCAAAATTGGGTTCTACTACATAATTTTATATGTTGAATTAGAATCATGTTAATGAATTGTTTGCTACTTCTGATTTTTAGAATAACGTATTTGATTAAAGAAAACCAAGTAAATAAGTGATTGATATTGTATGATTGGTTTTATACAAATTGAATGTATTTCCCTTTGCATTTGTAACTGATTTTCTTTTTCTGAACACTTTTTTGTAACTGTTTTATGTATTCTGTTTTATAACAACTGGATAGACTTTACGGTTTTGTGCTGTGCGGCCTGTCAATCAGTTCAGTGACAGCTGTCAATCACTGACACGCAAAGTATTGTGGGATTCCCTAGTGAGGAAAGAATTGATATCTCTCTGTGTGGTGACTTTAGCCTCCCACAGTTCCGGTACTTTACATTTTTTTAGTCTTTTTCCTTATGATATGATGAGAGTTGTGGCCAGAATGTGTTAATTTAAAAAAGAAATTAAATAGACATGACATCTAAATAAACTTAATATATTCAGGTTTATTTCATTTTGATTGTAAAATTTTAATTCTCTATGGGTTTGGTTTTTTACCATTACTAAATTTAAAAAAATAAAGCAGGAAATTGGTAAAGTGAAACTTTCTTAGCCAATTTAAAGAGTGCAAAATAAATTACTAACTAGGCTATCAAAGCAGAAGTCAGGGTTTAAATATAGTAAATTTTATATTCAATTCTGAGAATATTTGGTTAATGAAGTTTTATCATTTTTTCCATGATTTCCACTGTATTGTTTATATTGTTCTTCTTAAGTATATTGACTACACTGTTTTATTTTTTTTTCTCGAATCACATTGTAACTGTGTAATTGAATAGTAAGACCAGTACCAGTAGCATGATTCTGGAATTTATTTCCTCGTTCTTGTGATTCTCTGACTGGTCTTTATAGCATTGAGATAGTTGAATCAATAGCTAAATAGTAAAGGTTTAAAAATAATTTTAAAAACCTGTGAAGAACATTGACTTCCGGTGAAATTCTTTTTTTCATAAGTAGCATATTCAAGCTAAAGGGTACCCAGTCATTTTCATGTAGTTTTCACCCACGGTTTTCCATTTTATGAAAAATACTCTTAAAAGTACTTATTCTTATTAGACCTGTATTTTATTTTGTTTGCCAAAGCAGCTAATCTCAAGTTTTTATTTATTTATTATAACCAATTTTTATAAAATTGTGGTTCAAATACTTTACCTTTTGAAACAGCACATTTGAAGTTGCATATAACAGAGTTAATCCTTTGTTACGAATTTGGCATTTTTTCCTCTTCTCTCTTTTTAAAATTTCCTGCTGAACAAATTAAGTATTTTTGTTAGTAATGGAAGAAAACAGGGAGAATAAGAGCCTTGAATTACAGCTAATGGTAAATGACATTTTTTGACATTTATGCAGCTGTCAGATAATTCTTGTCCTACGGATAGCAGCCTCAGTAAGCTGTTTATAACCTGTCATGGTAATATCCACAATGAAAGGAAGTTAAAGTTTTAATTTATTTAAAGTTTGCTTTGTTTATATATCACATTTAAAAAACTATGTGATAATCTTTATAGGCTTTGTGTCTAATATGTGAAAATTGTTTTAAGTTAATACAAAGTCCTATGGTTTAGAAAGATTTATAACTATTTGATAAGCGTTTTTTATTTAACATAAGTAAATATTGTAAATTTTGCCTTCCAGTTATCAAATGCATCTAGGAATTTGGTATTCATCACATCAGATACAAAGTAGACAATATGAACAAAAATTACGTTACATCAATACATTAAGTGGTTTCTTAATCACTCTCTGGAAATATTGGGTTTATGAGTGTTTCTCATTAATCCAACAAAAGTCAAGAGCCAAGTTTAGCAGTGGAGAAAAATCCACAGCTGCTTAGCTCTTGTCTTTAAAAAAAATTTTCTGATACAGAAATTCTATTTCTTTCTTTCTTTTTTTTTCCTGACCAATTTCCCCTCAGGAACAGAAATTCTATTTTTTCTAACCCTCACAAAAGTTTTCCAGAAGGGACATCAACCTCCTTTTTAATCCTCTAGTTGGAGAAGTGAGGTTGTAGGGGGAGGTGGTAGGGTTGGAATAGGCGGAAGGAATGATTAGTTAATTTTGGGCTCACACATCTTAAATTCTGATTCTGTTCCTAATTTCTCATTCCCCTGGTCAGGAGGGAAGGCACCATATTTATTTAATCCCTATTGGTGGTGGTGGTGTCTTACCATCATCAGAATCTTTTGTTCAGATAATCTTGGCTGCCTTGGGTGTCTTCTGTGGTAGGAGTACAAAGTAATATAAATAAGATTAAATTTTAAAACAGGTCCTCAAAGATCCATAAAAATAAATATTCCTTTCTTCCTCTACTTAAAAAAACAAATAAATACAGTTTTGGAGAGGGATTCTAAGTACTTATATATGTTGTTACTAAAGGATTAATATTATTTAATACCTTTGGTATAATGTTACTAACTTGGTACTTCAGTTGTTGAGTATAATATTTGGTAAATACTTATATTCTGAGTTTTATGATGGTAAAGACGTACATATTAATGCTAAAAAGTACAGAATATCTGCATGCAGTTTTTAAAATAAATCTTAATTATGACCAACATATAAATTCTGTGGTTTTCTTATATATCAAGGTGGTGTACAACTGCCTTTTTAAAAACCAAAATAAAAATTTTCACCTTATTTTGATTTTTAGACATTTGACAGTATAGGTTTGTAATGACTTGCTATTTGTGCTCAATGATTTCTAAATCCCCCCATTAATTTTAATGAATAAAAATTTCATCCACCTAGTTTTTAAAAATAAATCATTCTTACCATCTTGATGTTAAAGTATTTTATTATCAGTTCATAAGCCTGAGTCTTAGCTAAAAATACATAAAACTCAAGACAAAATCATATTCCCTATGAAAACATGGCAGTTCTTGTATTAAAAGTGAAAAACAACCTAAAACAGTTTTGTTTTCTATTTGAATAATGTCTTTGTAAAATATGATTTATCTTGAATTTGGCAGATTTTAGATGAGAGAGCCTATATGTTTGTTGCTGTTTATATTTCTAGTAAAAGAGCATTTCTGATACTCTCTTTAAGATTTAGTCTCCTCTAAATAAGTGCATTTTAAAAGTTACTATTCTCATTTTTAAGGTAAGTGAATTTTTTTTCTAGTTGTGAATATTTAGATATGAGGAATTTCTCATGGTACGTTATTTTTTCCCCATCCCACTACCTGCTTTAAAATATAGATTAAATCGGATTTCTTTGAACTATTATCTAATCATCATTTGGACAGTCAGTCTCGATGGAGCAAAGTAAAAGACAAAGTAGAAAGTGATCCACGTTACAAAGCAGTGGATAGTTCATCAATGAGAGAAGACCTTTTCAAACAGTACATTGAAAAAATAGCCAAGGTAATCATTATGTTTATTTGTATTGTTATCATTGAATAATAACATTATTTTTTTTAATTAATTTTTTTTTTTTTTTGAGACAGAGTCTCACTCTGTTGCCCAGGCTAGAGTGCTGTGGCGTCAGCCCAGCTCCCAGCAACCTCAAACTCCTGGGCTCAAGCAGTCCTTCTGCCTCAGTCTCCTGAGTAGCTGGGACTACAGGCATGTGCCACCATGCCCACCTAATTTTTTCTGTATATTTTTAGTTGTCCAGCTAATTTCTTTCTATTTTTTTAGTAGAGATGGGGGTCTCGCTCTTGCTCGGGCTGATCTGGAACTCCTGAGCTCAAACAATCCACCCGCCTCGGCCTCCCAGAGTGCTAGGGTTATAGGTGTGAGCCACTGTGCCTGGCCAATAATAACAGTAATAATTGCATTTAAGGGTACATGTTGCTATTTGGAATTTTTCTTGTTGGGAGTCTGGAATTTTTCTTTTTGTTATTCTTAACATAAGAATCTATAGTTGCTGATTTGGAGATGGAGATAAACAATGTTAAGGTATATTCTTGGTAAAAACAAGATTTGGAATTTTTTATTTGGCAAGCTAGTTATTGTGTGAAAACATTTTGATGGAGTTGGTAAGGATAATGTAATTTTACTTTTACAGAATTTAGACTCAGAAAAAGAAAAGGAGCTTGAACGGCAAGCCCGCATTGAGGCAAGCCTTCGAGAACGAGAAAGGGAGGTTCAAAAAGCACGTTCAGAACAAACGAAAGAAATAGATCGAGAGAGAGAGCAACACAAACGAGAGGAAGCTATCCAGAATTTCAAGGCTCTTCTGTCTGACATGGTATATATTAATCTTTTTCACTATTTTCCTCTGAAGTACTGGTTATTAGAAATTCATTGTATTACCCGATTATGAACAATTTTTTTTTTTTTTTTTTGAGACAGAGTCTCACTCTGTTGCCCTGGCTAGAGTGCCGTGGCGTCAGCGTAGCTCACAGCAACCTCAAACTCCTGGGCTCAAGCGATCCTGCTGCTTCAGCTTCCCAAGTAGCTGGGACTACAAGCATGTGCCACCATGCCTGGCTAATTTTTTTTTTTTTTCTATTTTTAGTTGTTTGGCCAATTTCTTTCTATTTTTAGTAGAGACGAGGTCTCTCTCTTGCTCAGGCTGGTCTGGAACTCCTGAGCTCAAAGGATCTGCCTGCCTCGGCCTCCCAGAGTGCTAGGATTACAGGCGTGAGCCACCGCGCCTTGCCTCACCTTTGCTTTCTTCATTTCGTTCCTGAGTTCCAGCCTTGCTGAACTTAGTTAATGAACCTTACCGTCCTAACATTTCTCATGGCAATCCTTCCCCCTAGAATGGTTTAAAACTCCTACTGCAATGACAAACTTCCTCATTCTTCAAGAATGCTCTCAAATATCTCTTCTGTGAGGCTGCTCCCGACCCGTCCGAGCAGATTTGGCCTCGCTCTTTCTTTTACACGCACTCTGCAGCACCATTACATGCTATTGCAATTATTTGCTTACATGTCTGTCTGCCCTAAAAAAAGCTATTGGAGCTATTTGAAGGAAGGGGCAACATCTTATTTGTTTTGTAGTCTTAGTGCCAAGCACAATATTTACCTGACATGTATTTAGATACTTGATAAATATTGGTTAAAGAAATATTTTTCTTCTTTCTTTCTATTTAGTTTCCCATATTTCTTCACATAGGCAGCAGTGTGACTAACTTTTAATGCCATTATAAGCAATGAAACATACCTTTTTGTTGGTTAGTGAGCCAGCCTACCTGTTATGTCTTCTTTTTTTTTTAAAAAAAAAGTATTTTTATTTGACAAATGATAATTGTGTATACTTACAGGGTACAGTTGATGTTTTGAAATCTATATGCATATATACATAAAAATATGGAATGATTAACCAAAGCTAATTAACATATCACTTTTTTACTTTTTGTTGTTAGACATTTGAAATTTACTCTTATTTTGGATACACAATGGTTTATTATTGTCGTTTCTCACCCTGCTGTGTAGTAGATCTCAAAACTTATTCCTGCTGTCTGAAACTTTGTACCCTTTGACCAATAATAACTCCTGATTCCCTCCTTCCTCCTCCTTCCATCCCCCAGCTTCTGTTGACTATCATTCTGCTCTCTGTTTCTATGAGTTCAGCTTTTTTAGATTCCACATATAAGTTAGATTATGCAGTATTTGTCTTTCTGTGCCTGGCTTATTTCACTTAGCTAATGTCCTCTGGGTTCATCCACGTTGTTGCAAATGATAGATTTTTTTCTTTTTAAGGCTGAATAATATTCCACTGTGTGTATATATCATAAATTCTTTATCCATTCATCTGTTGATAGACACTTAGGTTGATTCCATATTTTAGCTATTGTGAATAGTGCAAAAATGAACATGAGAGTGCAGATTTTCTTTGACATACTGATTTCAGTTCCTTTGAATATAGTACCCAGAAGTGGCATTGCTGGACCACATGGTTGTTCTATTCTTAGTTTGTAAGGAACCTCTATACCATTTTCCATAATGGCTACACTAATTTACATTCCCACCAACAATGTAGAAGAGTGTCCTTTTCTTGTATCTTTGGCTCCACTTATCCTTCATTTTTTTGATAAAACCCATTCTTACAGGTGTGATGTGGTATCTCATTGTGGTTTTAATTTGCATTGCCCTAATGATTAGTGATGCTGAGTAGTTTTTCATATACTTGCTGATCATTTGAATGTCTTCTTTTGAGAAATGTCTGTTCATGGCCCTTGCCCATTTTTAAATTGGTTATTTGTTTTCTTGCAGTTGAGCTGTTTGAGTTCCTTATATATTTTGAATATTAACCCCTTATTCAGTGTATGGTTTGTGACTATTTTCCACCCTTCTGTGTGTTATCTCTTCACTTTATAATTATTTCCATTGTTGTGTAGAAGCTTTTTCGTTTGATGAAATCCCATTTGTTTGTTTTTGCTTTTGTTGCCTGCATCAAAAAAATCACTGCCCAGACCAATGTCATGGAGCTTTTCCCCCATGTTTTCTTCTAGTAGTTTTAGTTTCAGGTATTATATTTAAGTCTGTAATTCACTGCTGTTTTGATTACATTTGCTTTATGATTTATTTTTAGATTAGGGAGTGTGATACCTCCAGCTTTGTTCTTTTTCGTAAGATTGTTTTTGGCGTCTTTTGTGGTTCTATATGAATTTAAGTGTTAACTTTTTTCTATTTCTGTGAAAAATGACATTGGAATTTTGATAGGGATTTCATTGAATTTATAGATTGCTTTGGCTAGTATGAACATTTTAACAGTGTTAGTTCTTCCAATCCACGAACATGGGATTTGTGTTCTTCATTTTGCTCTCCTCAGAGTTTTATAGTTTTCAGCGTACAGATCTTTTTCACTCTTTGGTTAAATTTACACCTAAATATTTTATTTTGATGCTATTATAAATGGCATTTAAAAAAAAAATTTTCTTTTTGGATAGTTTGTTTCTATTAATAGTATATAGAAACACTACTGATTTTTATATGTTGGTTTTGTATCCTGCAACTTTATTGAATTTGTTTATTCTAATAATTTTTGGTGGAGTCTTTAGGGCTTTCTGTATATATAAGATCATGTCATCAGCAAATAAAGATCATTTCACTTTTTCCTTTCCTGTTAGGATGTCTTTTATTTCTTTCTCTTGCCTAATTGCTCTTGCTAGGACTTCTAGTACTATACTGAAAAAAAGTGGTTAGTGAGCAGCATTGTCTTGTCCGTGATTTTATAGGAAAAGCTTTCAGCTTTTCACTGTTGGGTATGATGTTAGCTACGAGTTTGTCATAAAAGGCCTTTACTGTATTGAGTTACGTTCTCTCTATACCTATTCTATTGAGTTTTTATCATAAAAGCGTGCTGAATTTTGTCAAATGCTTTCTCTGCATCTATTGAGATGATCATACGGTTTTCATCCTTCATTTTGTTTATGTGGCATATCACATTTATCAATTTGCGTATGTTGAACTGTCCTTTCATCTGCTGTCTTCTCTTCTAGACTATGCTAATTCTTATGCTTGGAAGTGTCACTTTTCAGTATGTAGTCAATAAGTCCACATTTGAACTCAAGGTTTGCTGTGTTGCTTTTTTTTTCTTCTGAATGCTTAACCCTACAAGAAAACAAAAATATTTCCTCTTGTATTTCTATACATTTCTTCTATCAGAAGTTGGTAAGGTGTTAAATAGCATAAGTACCTAAGTAGTACTATGGTTAAGCATCCCTAATCTGATAGTCTGAAACCTGAAATGCTTCAAAGTCTGAAACTTTTTGAGCACTGACATGGCTCCACAAGTGGAAAATTCCACATATAATTACTTAACACAATCTTCTTTTTTTTTTTTTTTTTGAGACAGAGTCTCACTCTTTTGCCCGGGCTAGAGTGAGTGCCGTGGCGTCAGCCTAGCTCACAGCAACCTCAAACTCCTGGGCTCAAGCAATCCTCCTGCCTCAGCCTCCCGAGTAGCTGGGACTACAGGCATGTGCCACCATGTCCGGCTAATTTTTTCTATATATTTTTAGTTGTCCGATTAATTTCTTTCTATTTTTAGTAGAGATGGGGTCTCGCTCTTGCTCAGGCTGGTTTCGAACTCCTGAGCTCAAACGATCTGCCTGCCTCGGCCTCCCAGAGTGCTAGGATTACAGGCGTGAGCCACCGCGCCCGGCCAACACAATCTTTGTTTCCTACACAAAATTATTAAAAATAGTTTTATAAAATTATCTTCAGGGTATGTATATGATGTATGTGAAACAAATGAATTTTGTGTTTAGACTTGGGTCCTATCCCGAAGATATTTCATTTTGTATATACAAATATTCCAAAATCCAAAATAAACTGAAATCTGGAGTACCTCTGGTCCCAGGTATTTTACATAAGGGATACTTATACTCTCACCCTATATTAAAGTTCTTAGGGATTATGATTGATAGGAGATATCTTCTTTTCATCCTTCCCCATCTCCCTTATCTCTAAACTCATGTTTGGTAGCTTAGGTGAGTGCTGGGATGTACGATTTCTGGCTTAAAATAAAGTAGTTTTTCAGTGACTTCTAACTAAGGTGGAATCACCAGAGATCTCTTTTCTAGATTACTGGAAATGCACACAGCTTAGGTGTTGATTAAGTTAACACTGCTTTAGTGTCTTGAGCTTATTAACTTGCTAGAAGTTCTTTTTAAATGGCCTTTTAACACACGATTCATTTATAATATGTGGTCTATTCAAAAGGATGTATTTATTTTCAAAAGATGTTATTTTCTAGTTTTTGAATGACTCCACTTTTTATAAATAAAAATTAAGTTTATCATTCCTAAGTTAAATCATTGAGCCTCTTATTGTTGGAACTGTGAAAAGATAAGTCTCTTTGGTGATACATAATAGTTCTCTTTTTTAGGTACGTTCTTCAGATGTGTCATGGTCTGATACTCGTAGGACCCTCCGAAAAGATCACCGCTGGGAATCTGGATCCTTACTGGAAAGAGAGGAGAAAGAGAAGCTTTTTAATGAACACATTGAGGCACTTACCAAAAAGAAGAGGGAGCACTTTCGGCAACTTCTGGATGAAACTTCTGCGGTAAGAGTTTCTTATTTTTCTTATTTTAATCTAGATGAATCTTTGTTAATAATTCCAAAAAGTAAAGCATTATTGGATTTTTAGTGTCACAGTTTTTAGACTCATTACTAGAATTCATTGTATGACTCTTTCTTCTCTGATTTTTTAAAAAAAATGTTATATGGCATTCCTACTATTTAGAAATTACTTCTCTTTGCAGTTTTCAAATTCATAACTGCTGCTACGGTAATTCAAAATGTCCTCAGCTATGTGTGATCAGTGATCCTTCCTGATAATAGATTTAGTAAATTCCTTCTTTTGCTCCATTTTCAATTTGGTACTATGGCCCCTTGTTTGGCAGTTTGTACACTTTGTTATCCAGGTTTTGTTCCTGTTTATCTGCTCTCTTTTTGGTGATGGTTTCTTCAGAAGTTATGATGTTTGCCCATGTAAATACAGGGTTTGCAGGTGATTGTCTTAGGCCACCTTGAAAGTATGGCCATGAAAATAAGTCTTGTGGCAAGCCAACAAAAAGAAATTGCATTAACGCTGCTTCCCTGTCCCTAACTAGTCCAGTTACGCTTGGGCATTACAAGAGATCGCAGGTCAGTGTGTAATATTATGTACCATATGTGCTGCAGTTTGACCCCCTAAATAAAAGCAAGTTGTATTTATGTTTTTTATTCACATGTCTTTTCAAAGATTACCTTAACATCAACATGGAAAGAAGTGAAAAAAATCATTAAGGAAGATCCTCGGTGCATTAAGTTCTCCTCCAGTGACAGGGTGAGAGGATTTTTTTTTTTTTTATTTCAGCATATTATGGGGGTACAGATGTTTAGGTTACATATGTTGCCCTTGCTCCCCCTCCCCTCGAGAGGATTTTTTTGTCTCAGATTTACTGTGCGTTTACAAGATATTAATTGAGTGCTTAGTCAATAGCACTAGTATCTTGACCAAAGTGAAATTGATGGTTTTAAGTGAATTAAGTGTATAAGAAATGAATCTGAATTTAATTAAAGTTCCTATTTTATTTCTTGCATGATATATTAACAAGAAAGCACAGTAGAAGTTTAAAATTTTAATCTTTGAGGTTAAAGGTTGTGTTTTGGGATCTTAGAGATTTAATGAAGCTAGAGTTTTAATTTTATAGTCAGGTCCCACTAGACAGACATATTTAGGCTGGCCACTTGACTCTTAAGCCATCCTAACAAGAACACCGTAACAAGATCCCTAGTTCTCATATGCTCCGTAGACTTTGCAGTAGAAGAACCTCTCAGATGTTTGAGGTTTATAAAAACTGAGGCCTGATCTTGTGCATTTTGACTCCTCTCTAGGAAACAAACTCACTAAAGGTCTGAAATAGTGAATAACTTCAAATAAAGTATTTGCTTACTATAGTCCATTTTATTTGTTGGCCTTTTATTTGTATGAGTTAAGGTTCTGAGTGTTATCTTACAGTTAGTGAATCTCTAAATTACACCACAGTACTGTTTTTGTGCTTGAAGATATAAATAAAGTCTACAGGAAATGAACACTTAACCCTTAATTTTCCTATTTTTGTCTACCTCTTGAAATTGTTACAAAGATTGAAGGAAATGATCTTCATTAAATACTCAGTAGTGCAGGGACATACCAAGTCCTCAAGTTTTAGCCACTACTAATATATGACTCCTCATTCTTGCTTTCTTTTTGCCTTAAAAATGTGCATTGCAGATTATGCATTTTAGTGAATTTTATATGAACAAACATGTACCCTACTGCTTTTTTCTTTTGAATTTTTGGTTTTATTATGTGACATTATTGGTTTAATAAATACCTGATGTTTGTTTTGGAATTAATGGATTTACTTTTCCCTAATCTTACTTTTTTCTTTTTTTGGCAGAAAAAACAAAGAGAGTTTGAAGAATATATCAGAGACAAATATATTACAGCCAAAGCTGACTTCAGGACGCTTTTGAAAGAGACGAAATTTATAACATATAGGTGTGTGCAATGAAATGTTTTATATCGGCATTCCTTGTCCTTACTAGTCTTTACTCTAATGGCCAGAGCATTCTTTGCATTCACACACATGTTGACATTATTAAATTTTAGGGATAAGAAGACGCCAACTTTTATTCAAAGCCGAATACAGCCCATATCTACCATACTTTTTTTTTTTTTTTAAAGAAAGGGCCCAGATGTCAATTCTTATTTTGTGTTAACCCACCCATCTGCTTTTTAAAACATAACCTTTGTTTTTACTTCACTGCTTTTTTAGAAGTACCCCCAACTATATAAGAATTTTATTTCATGAGGAGACTTTTAAAATAATCCTTCATTGTCAATTATCTTTGCCTCCTCTGAAGACTATTCAGTATGGTTAGATCATTTGAAAGCTTGAAATCATCTATTTAAGCTCAGCAAAAACATTTTTTTTCTCAGAGGAAAGCATTTTTCTGGATATATTTAAATAAAAATTGTAAATTATAAAATTGGAGCCTTAAAATAAGATTTCTCTGTAACATACCCTACCCAACCGTTCTCCCCTCCAACAGTTTATCATCAGGAAAACAATTTTGCATTGCTTACCAGTCAGTATGCAGGAAACCATTTTTGTTTCATGCTTCAGCTTTTCTTCCTTTAAAATAAAAATTGGAAACATCTTAATGAAGGGTATGTGCATGGGAGGATAGATAGTGCTGAGGGTGTGGTTTTTAGATATTTTGTCATTTGGATTTTTTGGTCAGGATCCTTAATGTTTTGCATCAGCTTGGGCTTTTAAATTAGATGTGAAGTAAGACTTCTTTCTACATTTTTATAGTTAATTTAGTGAAAGATGTGAAAGTGAAAGCTTGTGAAAGATGCTGGGATTGGCAGCCCCGCAGACTGAAGTCCTCTGTTCATCCACAGAACAGGTACAGCACGGGCAAGATTTATCCACCCACCCTCAGCCCTGATCTGGAGGGACCACCAGTAGGGGTGGGAGGGTAATTCAGCTTCTGAGGCCCTTTCACTCCTTGGAGTCTTTGCTGAGGCGACTTACAAAGGTGACCACTGCAGTGAAATTTTTCTTAAAAAAAAAATAAATAAATAAAAAAATGGAAACACAATTAGGAAGTAGATGGACATTTCCAGCTCATTTCTGAAAGACCTGTGAACAGCAGTCAGTAATTCCTGGACTTCTTTTTCTTATTTCAGATCTAAAAAGCTAATTCAAGAATCTGATCAGCACCTGAAAGACGTAGAAAAAATTTTGCAGAATGACAAGCGGTATCTTGTACTGGACTGTGTGCCCGAGGAAAGGCGTAAACTCATTGTGGCGTATGTCGATGACCTAGATCGCCGGGGCCCACCTCCACCTCCCACAGCGTCAGAGCCCACGAGACGATCAACAAAATAATTCTAAATACTCTTCCACAGGGGTATATATTAATTCAAAATGCTTGCATGAGCCAATTTTCGGGTTTTTACATATATGTGCATTAGTCAACCTATTGCAAAACCATCTGACAAACAGAAGGAGAAGCATTCATGAACAGTTTCTGAACAAGACACTTTGGAAATATTTATGCTTTTCTTTGTGTGGCATGACTGACATACATACTCAAATATAGGCTGTCTCTAGTAAATCTAAAATCTTTTGAAGCTAAAAATCATCCTTTTATGAGGTGTGGAAGTCAGTGACTTGGTGACGTTCTTTCTAGCAGTGTTATACATGCAAGACGTAAGAGCATTTGTGGTTTGAACTTGCCAGATGCAAAAACCACAGACTCCAAGAAAACCTAAGTTGGGGTTCGTTTTGTTTTGATTTTATTTTTTAAAGCGGGTAAAAGAGAAAACACTGAAAATTGAATTCTTATCTTCCAGAGGCTAAGATTATTATAATGGACAATACTTTTACCTTTGTCTCTAAAGAACAGTTTAGTTTTATTTGTTCACTTATGTGCTTTGATTATCCCCTCTGAATTATAGACCAAGTCTTGTCGTTTAGCCTAAGAGAAGATTTATGTAGTAAGTTCTTCTCAGGTTTGGAACTATGGTCATAACTAACATGTTGGCCAGAATAGAACCACTGGTTAAACATACTTTATTCACCATTAAGTGATCTTTATCAATATTCTGGATTAGACAACAAATTACCTTTCGGGGTATTCCCTGTAAACTATATTCCTGTTTGAACGTTAAACTTTTGTTTCTAAAGTTTAATTTTAAGATGTTTGAATGTTCAGTTTATGTATTTGAACTACAATAAACCAACCCTTTTTATATATGTGTATTGTATATTATTATTGTTACATTATTTATAAAAACTTATTTTAAACCTGTTTTTTTTAAAGCAGCAAATGTAATTGGCACAAAGAAAGTTGACATTAAATTTTGAATATTACATAGTTTTAAAAGGCTTTAATATAATACAGTATCTAGTATAAAGGGGGAGGAATTTTGTAGAGAACCTTTTTGGAGCTTAAGTCTCTTAGCAGGACCTTACTGCTTCATAGCAAGAAGATGATGGCTTTTTTTATTTTTTGTTTTTGTTGTTTTTTGTTTTTGTCTTTTGTGTTCATGTGTGATGGTTTGTGCCTTTCTGGCATCCTTTTAGCACGTCATGCACATCGTACCGAAACTAACTTTGATTCCCAATTGCTGTTTCTAGCTTTACCTCCTCAGTTTAAAAAAATCCCTTTTATTTTATCCCTTCATAGGATGTCAGTTTCAGAGTGCCACACAAATAAAATGTTTAAGAAAATGTATGTACTAATAGAATAATTTATTTTCCTGTTATCTCATACCTACTCTGATTGCAACAAAACCTAGAAAGGGGATACCAACATCTCTGTGTTTCTATGTTATGTGTACACAGTCACAGATACACATTCACATCCATGTTTCTTAGTTCTTAGCTCTTTCATCTATTAAGTGCAGAGAAATACGTGAACTCTGTATAGAGGAACCAGGTATTGGTGAGATAAACAGGATGTCTTTTGTTTTCTTTTTTCTCTTTTTTGAAGTTCATTTTTATAAATTCTTTGAGTGAGTTTTGAGTTTTATGAGTAGTGAAATTGAAGTGCTTGCCAAAAGGAAGACAGCTATTAAGAAGTATGGCTCAAAGTTACAGTTTCTAGAATGCCTTATTTTGTTACTTTGAATTCCATGTAGTATTGTTTGCCCACTGACTACATTCTGTTTCTCACAGTAGAGAAGTGAAAAGAAAATGGTTTGGCGATATCTATTATAATTTTATACTTTTGTCTTACACTATTGGGTTTGTTGACGTAAGGTGCAAATCAAAGTTTTCTAGGCAGATTTTTAAAGAGAGAAAGTCAAGACTTTATATCAGGTTCTTAATGAAAGGTTCACTGTAATTACACGTTGTTCTAGTGTCTGTATCTTGATTTGGTGCTTATCAGCAAACTCTGAAAATCAGGTTACCCTGAGACCTGTGCCAGTGATAAAGTCAGACATCTCCATAAAGTCCCATTGTTCCAAATGATGATTTTGAAATGATAATTGAAGACAAAGACAGCCTTAAGCCTATCTGAGGTAAAACATAATTGTTTTTATTTCTTTGTAAGTTAAAAGTGTCAAACACTGGAAACCTACATCCTACATTTACTGTATATAATGAACATAAAAATCTTTAATTCACATACTCACAATTTTAATGGTAATCCCTTGTATATCACAAAGCAATATTTTGGATCTTGGGTTAAATTGTACTTTATTTGAACTCATGGGCTTCAAATAATATTTGCAATGAACAAAGTAAAAAGAAAACAGCCCTGCCTATATGTTGAAAAGCAAACTGTGGCTGTTTGTAAAAAAAAAAAAAAAAAATCCCCAAAGTCACAGACTGAACATAAAAAAATAGTTTTTTTCATAGCATATTTTTTATATTTCAGATTCTCCATTGCTTGCCCTAAAGGCATTTTTATTCTGAGGGAACCCCTCAGTGAAAATACCACAGAGTTCCATTATGAAGTAATCAAGAATCATAGATAAATGTCCTTACGTTTAAAAGGGAAAGAAATGTATCATCATTATGTTTTATTGGGTATGCTTTACCTTGCTGTAAAATGAAATAGTTACTGCCTGTTATTCAAATTTTACCATATGGTTGGGAACACAAAATTTTAATTTTATTGCTTTTCTTTCTGCATCGCCCTTATTTTTTATTCTTAGCCAAACTCTTCCTTTTGTCTGTTGAATTTTCTCTTTTTGATAATAATCTTTTTCTTATGTATTTTAAAAGCAGGGTTCCAGTTCAATGTAATGGGTAAGTTTAATACTGTTTAACAAGTAAAATCACAATCTCCATCCCCTCTTTATGTTTGAGGCTTGCCTTTAATCAGTAACCATAACTTATAGTTTATCTTGGGAGAAAGGAGATATTGGGAGAAAAAAATTTCTGTTTGTAAAAGAACAACTATTTCCTGGATTTTGGAAGAGAAGGAAGGGCAGTTTTTAAGTTCTTTTTTTCCTTATCAGAATATAGAATGTCCTGGGTAGGCTGCTAAAATTCTCAAACTGAAGACTCATTCAGGTGGTTTTTAAAAGATCACTGAAGCAGACTTCAGTATAAGCCAAAGTTTGAATTTAAGCTTAACCAAAAATAGCTGTGGTTTGAAATTAACCCAAAATTGGAATAAAGTCATGTTTCTTATTATGTAAACTTCGGTCATAGAAATTCTGATACGGATTTTCAGTAAGTAAATTAATATTAAGGAAATTAAGATAAGTCATTAAAATTTACTCATTAATATGTTAAAGGATAATTTGGTAGGTGAAGTTAGGACCTGCAGGTTCCGGGAGAAACCAAAGGCAAAGGGGCTCAGGCTTTGACAGAGATAAGCTCTACTCCAGGCTCTGGCCAGGGCAGTACAAGGCTGGTCCTAAGGGGTCCCTAATAAAACAGCCATTGTAAACAAGCGACAACATAGCTGGGCTCTCTAATCCCTTTGACAGCAACATCTTTATACGGCACTTAAAATGAATTCTTGCGACAGTCAGGTTATAACTCTGAAACATAATTATTACTCCCAACATGGTGTTTCACTTACCAAATTGCACATTTTCAAAATGTAAAATATGAAGCATTTCTGTAATTCCTAGCAGTAGTAATTGTATCATATTTGATATGGTAAAGTCAGCAATATTGATAATGAGCAGTACAAGTAAATACAGTAATCACAATCTGTTTTGCTTCGAAACATGAATCTATTTATCACCACCCCCTGTTACTTGATCTTCATGTTCCCAGGGGATAGGGTCATTGTCCTGTACAGAAGGGACTGTGTCCCTCTCATGCCAAAACTGCTCTACGTCAGGGAGGATGGGAATCTCCACCGTTTCAGTTTTCCCTTTGCCGGAGGAGGGAAAGCCGTGTTTCTCTTTCTCTGGTGTGGATGTTGGGGACTCTGGAGATGGAACCTTGTCAGGAAGGACCTCTGAGTTACCGGCTGGTGTTTCTTGAGACTCTGTGACAGTTACAGGTTTTTTGGTTATCATCCATTTCCATAAGCCTTTCAAGCCTTCTTTGAACTCCTCTGACATCACGAGAAAAATGAAGGGATTTGCTGAAGAGATGGAAAACATTAGGACTTGGGACAGGGCTATGAAACCCTGTGGTGGGGCCGGGCGCCCAGCCTTCAGATGCCATACCCACAGCCACGCTACCCATTCAGGGAGCCACAGAAGAGCAGAGGTGGCGGCAATGCTCAGCAGCATCACTGTGAGTTGCTTTGAGCGTATCTGGTTTCTCAGATTTTGAGTCTTAGTTCCTCGTTTTTTACATTGGCCATAAGCTCTCCAGAAATAAAAGCTGGCAAAGAGCAATGGAAGGCAAAATGCCAGGAGAGGGTAGAGCTTACCAAACAGTGACATGAACTCTTCAGCCACAGCTGGTACATCCATGAGGCACATTTCCACACCCGCATGATGCCTGGTGGTGCTAAAGAGCCATTCCGGCAGAGGTAACAGGCTAGCCGCAGCCCAGATGGCCGCCAGCACTGACCAGATGGTGCAGTTCTGGATACTTACTTGCTTGGCTGGGTCACTCGCATACATGAAGCATACTTTGGCCACCACAACGATTGTCAGGCTCTTTGCTGCCATGCATGTGTGGATGAACCAGTCAGAGGACTTGCAGACAAACCAGCCTAGATCCCAAACACCTTTGGAGTATGCTGTAGCTCGGACAGGTGCAGAAAACAGCAAGAGGGAGAGATCAGCCAGGCTGAGATTCAGAATCAGGGAGTGGATCATGGATGGCTTTCCTTTCCAAGCACTATGAAGCAGGATGCCAATCACACACAGGTTTCCCATGAAGCCCACCAGACAGACAGCCACCAAGAGAGCTGGAACGATGGTTCTCCAGTCTTGGGAATCAGAGGGCAGGTACCCTCCAGCAAAGTGGAGGTGAGCGAAGGACAAGTTCATGGTGCTGGAGTTAGAGTCTGCAAAGGCAGCTGCCAGCATCACCGTTTCCATCCAGTTCCTCCTTACGGAAGTTAGCTTCTTACTGAGGTTTGTCTTTCTGCCTTGGCTCTTTTGCACAGGAAATAAATACTGTCCTCAGTGTCAAATGACACCTCTGGACCCTCCCCCTGCTAATTTCCTGAGAGCAGAATGTGGAGGAAGGTTGACTGCTAAGCTCCTCGCCACATACTGCACTGAATGACAGGCAGCGGGGTGCACGGCTGCTGCTCATTAGCAAGTCTAATGCCAAATTGTCAGCCCTGTGGAGTCATAAGAATATACTCATAAATGATGAATGAAGAGAACATACACGCAAGGGGGGTATGTTTCTGCGGGGTTGCTAGAGCCAGTCAAGGCAATTATTTTCAACCAGCTGTTTCTAAAATCTTGACTGCAGCCTGTAATTCAGTAAACACTACATCTGAACCAAATCTTTTAAAGTTAAGCACACATGGGAATCACCTGGATGGCCTGATGCGGGAGGTCTGGAGTAGGGCCCAAGAACTTGCATCTCTAACAAGATCTGGGGAGACCACACTTTGATAACTACTGTTTCAAACTGAGCCAATGCTGCTTCCGCCCACCCCCTTTGCAGAGATGAGGTTCCTCTTCCCCAACTCTCACCACCACCTCAGCCCCATCAATAGCTGGCTGGGATCAAACAGCTGGATAATGAAAACAAGTTGGAAAGAAGTCCTACTAAAAAATCGAATTATGTATGACTCTAAGTTTATTGTGAATTTTTAGAGGTAATTTTGGAGCTCAGAACTGCTTTCCATACTAATAAGACTTTTC